TTTTTTGTTTTTGTTTTTGTTTTTGAAACAGGGTTTCTTTGTGTAACAGCCCTGGCTGTCCTGGAACTTACTTTGTAGACCAGGCTGGAACTAACAGAGATCCACCTGCCTCTGCTTCTCAAGTGCTGGGATTAAAGGTGTGCACCACCACCACCACCACCACCACCACCACCCACCTTGGTGGAAATTTTAAGACAGTAAAATATTTGAATGTGTGGTGTGGTTATTAATACTTATACAGGTCTACAATGAAAAAGAACAAGTGGGGAAGAAAGAAATACAAAATGTACAGTTTGGAGAAGAAAAAAGAAAGAACTAAGAAACTTAATGCCACAGCCAAGACATATGCTGGAAGAGTTTGTAATTTGTTAAAGAGATTAGTGTCATTAAAGAGAGGCCTGCACTGGAACAAAGGGTGCCCTTCATGGAAAGACCCTACTCAGCTAAGCTTCCAACTTACAAAGGGAAAAGGCCTAAGGAATTTTCTGCTCCTAGAAAGAAATAGAAAACAAAAACTACCACTAATGTGGTTCAAGGGGGAACCATTCCAAGCTGGTAACTGAACTTTGTAAAGTCAACCATGTGGTACTGGCTTTAAAAGCCTAAAAGATCCGAGAGTGAAGAAGTGATGATTCTTCCTCTACAGTCTCAGAAAATTGCTGAGGCCAGGCAACTTGTGTCAGGGAGGTCCTTGCATGAACGCCCTGAGAGGCCATTGAGTAAAACGTAAAAGTGAGCCTGGGTTGTAGTAGAGACCCCAAGATATTGACAATGCCAGACTTGTGGGGTATCTGGCAAGGAGGGCTGTATATAGGCAGTTAAACCAACCCAAGAGAGGCATGTATGCTGCAGGCATAAAAGCAGGAGGGACAGTGCCATCTAAACCCTTTGATATTGACATAAGCTATAGGATTTGGTATTTGCCCTCCTGGATCTCAGTCTTACTTTGGTTCAGTGTTTTTCACTAGGCCTCCCTTCCTCCCTTTTTGAATAGTAATGTATATTCTATGCCATTAGATGCTAGAAGTATATAATTTGCTTTTTTACTTTACAAGGCATTACAATCAACAGATTGCCCTGTGTCTCAGAAGAGACTTTGAACTTTTACACAGTGCCCTATGGGTGATAGAGCACCTTGCTCGTAAAAAAAAAAAAAAAAAAAAAAAAAAAAAAAAAAAAAAAAAAAAAACAGGATTCCTGTGAGATTACAGCTGACCTTGTTCAGTCAGCCCAAAAGAAAATGTCTGTTGGGACAGCCCGTCTCACTTTGGGTAAACAATTTCAGGAAGGAGTGCAGACTCACACATAGTCTCCTACAACAACAATTTCTTTATTTCCAACCCCCTCATCCCACCCCTATAAAGGGTTACAGC